ACGATTTCTCGCCCAAAAACGACCCATACCCCCCACCTGGCCTCCACCTGGCCACCACCTCCCCGCGACATCCCCAGGCCTCTGGGCTCTGTTCTTGGGACCCCCAACCCTACGATTTCTCGCCCAAAAACGACCCATCCCCGCTACCTGGCCCTTACCTGGCCACCACCCCCCCCCCACATCCCCAGGCCTCTGGGCTCTGTTCTTGGGACCCCCGACCCTACGATTTCTCGCCCAAATCGACCCATACCCCCCACCTGGCCCCCACCTGGCCAGCACCCCTCCACGACATCCCCAGGCCTCTGGGCTCTGTTCTTGGGACCCCGGACCCTACGATTTGTCGCCCCAAAACCCACCCCCCCATCGGACCCGACCCCTAGATTTGTCGCCCAAAACAACCATCGCCTCCCTCCTGTGCCCCACCTGGCCACACCACCCCCCCCCCCCTCAACAGACCATCACCCATTGCCTTTGGGGCTGTGTTCTTGAGACCCGTCTTACGAATTTCTCGGCCCAAAACAAACCCCATACCGCCCTCCTGGTTCCCACCTGGGCCACCACACCCACACAACGACATCCCAGGCCTCTGGGCTTGTTCTGGGGACCCCCGACACCCTACGATTTCTCCTCAAAACGACCCATACCGCCCCCTACCTGGCTCCCACCTGGCCCGCACCCCCCCCGACATCCCCAAGGCCTCATGGTGCCTCTGTTATTGGGACCCCGGGACCTGCGATTTTGGGACGCTGGAAAAGACCCACCCCGCCACCTGGCCCTTTACCTGGCCACCACCCCCCCACGACATCCCCAGGCCTCTGGGCTCTGTTCTTGGGACCCCCGACCCTACGATTTCTCTTTCAAATCGACCCATACCCCCCACCTGGCCCGCACCTGGCCAGCACCCCCCCCCGACATCCCCAGGCCTCTGGGCTCTGTTCTTGGGACCCCGGACCCTACGATTTGTCGCCCCACCCCAGGCCTCTGGGTTGTGTTCTTGCGACCCCCGACCTTACGATTTCTCGCCCAAAAACAACCCATACCCCCCACCTGGCCACCACCTGGCCACCACCCCCCCACGACATCCCCAGGCCTCTGGGCTCTGTTCTTGGGACCCCCGGCCTCACGATTTCTCGGCCAAAAACGACCCATACCCCCCACCTGGCCCCCACCTGGCCACCACTCCCCCACGACATCCCGAGGCGTCTGGGCTCTGTTCTTGGGACCCCGGACCCTACGATTTGTCGCCCCAAAACAACCCATACGGCCCACCTGGCCCCCACCTGGCCACCACCCCCCCCCACGACATCCCCAGGCCTCTGGGCTGTGTTCTTGGGACCCCGAACCCTACGATTTGTCGCTCCCAAAACAACCCATACCGCCCACCTGGCCACCACCGCTCCCCACGCCATCCCCAGGCCTCTGGGCTGTGTTCTTGGGCCCCCGACCCTACGATTTGACGCCCCAAAACAACCCATACCCCCCACCTGGCCCCCACCTGGCAACCACCCACCCCCCCACGACATCCCCAGGCCTCTGGGCTGTGTTCTTGGGACCCCCGACCTTACGATTTCTCGCCCAAAAACCTCCCACACCCCCCACCTGGCTCTCACCTGGCCACCACCCCCCCCACGACATCCCCAGGCCTCTGGGCTCTATTCTTGGCACCCCCAACTCGACGATTTCTCGCCCGAAAACGACCCATACCCCCCACCTGGCCCCCACCTGGCCACCACCCCCCCACGACATCCCCGGCCTCTGGTCTTGTGTTCTGGACCCCCGACCTCGGAGCGCACACCCCAACCCCTTACCGCCCACTGGCCCCCACCCCCCACACCCACCCCCCCCCTCCCCTCCCCACGACATCCCCAGGCCTCTGGGCTGTGTTCTTGGGATCCCGACTTTACGATTTCTCGCCCAAAAACAACCATACCGCCCACCTGGCCCCCACTTGGCCACCACCCCCCCCCACGACATCCCCAAGCCTCTGGGCTCCGTTCTTGGGACCCCCGACCCTACGATTTCTCGCCCAAAAACTACCTATACCCCCCCCAAAAAAAAAAAAAAACGACATCCCCATCCTTGCCAGCATGCCTCTCCTACTCTCCCGGCAACATGCTTCACGACTGGCACGCGCGTCCATCGTCCCTCCTGTCGGCTGCGGCAACAGCTATCCAGTCTTACGCACTTTCGTCACTGACGCATGGCTCCGCTCAGCGACTTCTTTCCTTTTGCGCTCTTGGCCAGCACAGCACTCGTTGCACCTTTGCTTCCCATCCGCCTTCTGCGTCGTTCGCCCGGCCAACCAGCTGCTGTATTCGTCCCTGCCGAAAGCGCCTTTGCATTCAACACATTTCCACTTCCCGCGCTGCAGCTTCGCGTCGTCGATGCATCGCTTGCACTTGCGGTGTTGTTCTGCCCTGCCGTCCCACATCTTTTCAGAGAAACAATCTTTCTGTTGCGCCTTCTCGCACGCTACACACGTTCTCACTTCCTTCCTCCCTGCAGCGACGCACTGCTTGCACTTACGATGCAGATCTGCCACGCCGTTCCACATCCAATCAGAAAACCAATCTTGCCGGTGCGCCTTCTCGCACACCGCGCACGTTTTCATGTCCTTCTTCGGCGCAGCGACGCAGCGCTTGCACTTGCGGTGCAGATCTGCAACGCCGTTCCACATCCAATCCGAAAAACAATCTTGCCGTTGCGCCTTCTCGCACACCACGCAAGTTTTAATGTCCTTCCTCGCCGCCTGATCCCGCTCTGCTGCTGCAGCGTTTACGCATTCCCTACATTGCATCGACGCTTTCGGCGCGTTCTTCAGCATGTACTCTGAAAACTCGGTTCTCCTTTTGGGGATTCCGCAGTTGGAACACACGCGCTCTTTTGCCTCTTCGGCACGGGCCTTCTCCTCCTCTCTCTGCAACCTCTTACAAGCCTTGCAAGTGGGTTCCTCGCTGATGATAGTTTCCGCTTTGGCAAATTGATCTAGTAACTTCTCCTGGCCGCAGCGCGAACACTTCAGGTGCGTTTTCGCGTCTTCGCAGTCCCGGCACATTCCCCCTTTGCATCGGGCGTTCCCTGCCTTGTCCCACTGCAAACCCACGAACGCCTCCTCGTACTTCCGGCCCTCGCATACATAACACTTTCGCCTCTCAGGACAGTCCACGCAACGCCGTGACGTGAGCTTCGAGCTGTGGTGCTGGGATGC